CCAACTCCCTACACACTGGTACCTTGATTCTTGTACTTAATCTGTTCCGGGAGTCCGTTCGACTCCCAAAACTGTTCAAAAACCAAGGCGCAGCTTGCGATTGGCTGCAGGAGCTTCCTGCACTCAATTGGAAGACGTGTTGGATGTTTGGCTACCGAAAAACGTTCACAAACCGGAACACTTCCGGGTTTGCGGCGTTCGAGAGCAGATTTGTTCAACAACTAAGCTGTTTGAGACCCAAGGTACCACTGTATAGTGGTACCTCTGGTTGCGAACGGGATCTGTTGTGGAGGCCCCTTCGAAAGCTGAAAGGAATGCAACTCACACCTGCAGGTCACGATTCGCTGCTTCTGCGCATGACATCATTTTGCGTGTCTGCGCATGCGCAAGCGGCGAAACCCGGAAGTAACCCTTTCTGGTAGTTCCGGGTCGCCGCAGGATGCAACCTGAAAAGGCTCAACCTGAAGCAAATGTAACATGAGGTATGACTGTATAGGGCTGCTGTCAGATGTCTTCCAAAGATTGTACAGTTATTTATTTCCTTGGCTCAGGGGTCACATAACTCCATACCGTCCAACATTTATCTGATGAAAATAGGGATGTCCTACCATACACTTCACCATTTCTCTGATGAAAACAAGGGCATTCTAAGGAAAAGTGGGACATTCCAGGGTCAAATCAGAAACTGGGACTGCTTCTGTAAATCTGGGGCTGTCCCTGGAAAATAGGGACATTTTGAGGGTCTGGTGTACAGCCCAGAAAAAGCTTTATTGCTCCGTTTTGCTGAATGCTAAACAGGCTCTCAGGAAATGAAGGAGGTTTGGGGGACGCGGGAATCCAGAGGCAAATTGTTTTCATGCCCAGGTTTGAGCTCTATAAAGAAATTGGCCCAGACAGACGTTCTATTCAGGATCTCCATATTAAGGGAATCAAAACCCAGGAGATGAGAGCTAACGCCATTCATTCCCTGACCGATCAGAAGGATTCGGATGGAGTCAAGCGTGTGACCCTTCCCTGTAATGGGCTGCAGTTCAAAAAGTGTCAGGATGATTTTCCTCCTGGCTGGCAGCCACAGGCAGGTTGAGAAGAGAGATTCTGCTACAGTTGGAGAAAGAAGCTTTGGAAACCAGCAATACAAAAAGTCTCCATTCAGCTTGGAGAAACCAGAAAGTCGTTCCACCTCTTAAAGGGAGATCAAGTAACTTCTCTGGGATCTTTTGCCAGCAGCAACAGGCAAGGAAAACGTGGGAATTTTGATTCTCAAGCCCGATACCAAAGCAAAGGCTGACCCTGGGTTCACTGTACAATTGCTAACTCAACCAAGGCAACATTTAATACGGAATTGAGCATCTATTTTAAGTAATCGGAAATAAAAAGCTACAAAGTATCTAGCTGTAGCATGTGCTCATATTCCTGTTTGAAAATCTCTATGCAATGTACAAAAAGAAAGAAACGCAAACACAACAAAATGATGCCACAAAAACAGAGATACAACACTAAACCTGGTAAAACAAAAATTTAAAGATGTATAAACACATGCCTAAAACAGGAAGTCAGTACTACTGGCAATGTCCCGATCTTGTGGGTTGAGGGAAAAGAGATCCCTTTGCAAGACAGCTGAAGCAACTGACAGATTCTGCTTTGGGGTTTAGGTGTGGACAAGACATCAGGACAACTTGTGCAGCCCAAGCAAAAGCGGTCTGTGCTCAAATCCAGCACGGTGCAGACTGCCTCTGCTCCACCCGCAATGCACTGATTTGCACCTTTCTGAGTTTGCACGAACGTAGTTTGGCAATAACAAGCATGCTCAGCCCCCCTCCAAGTGACAGTCCGGAGGAAGCACCCTAACATTTCTACAGGAAAGAAACAGAAACTGCCTTTTACAGAACCACCTAGAGCAGTGTTCAGCAAACTTTTTCAGCAGGGGGCCGGTCCACTGTCCCTCAGACCTTGTGGGGGGCCGGACTATATTTTGAAAAAAATAATGAACGATTTCCTATACCCCACATATAACCCAGAGATGCATTTTAAATAGGACACATTCTACTCAGGCAAAAACACGCTGATTCCTGGAACGTCCGCGGGCCTGATTTAGAAGGCGATTGGGCCGGATCCGGCCCCTGGGCCTTAGTTTGCCTATCCATGACCTATAGTTAAGCCTTGGAGGCAAGCTTCCGAGATGCTCAGGCTGAACTGCCAAAGTAGCAGCAACCATAGTTGTTAAGTAGAGCAGGAACATTTCACCTTAAGTGCTAGAGACAGAAGCTGAGATGGGAGGTCACAGGTGGAAGCATGCATTCATCTGACCCATCTCAAAAAGGATGGATAAAATCATCCAACCAATTCAACAACGGCAACAAAAGCCAACAATTGTGTGAACTGTCCATAGCAAAACCGGTCCCTTTATTTTGCATTTGTTCTGCCCTGACTAGAAAGTGCTTGCTGGTGCACAAAGAGTGATATCCAATGTTAGAGTAAGTGCAGTGGTTTCCAATAGGTCTACTCCAAGCATGTATTAGTTGGCTATCACTGCAAACCATTTTGCAAACTCTTAGGCACAAACTGAGGAATTGAAGGGAGGTCCTTGCCAACCTAATTATTGTCACCTTGTGGTCCCAGTATTTAACTCTTTGCTTGTGTTAGTTCAACGGCAAAGAACAGAAATACTTAGAAAGTTAACTTTCCATTTATTTTTAAATCAGAAAATTCACGCATACTATAGCAGGCTCAAGAATGTGACAGAAATCTTGTCACATGTTTGCGTGACTCACCTTTTGGCCTGAGTGCTAAACCCTGAACTGCAGCCTGCAAGGAACAACAATTTGGCATATTGCATTGACTTCATCATCTTTTTGGGGAGAGGGCACTACCTTCTTGAGTTAGACTCCCTGCTACAAATCCATCAGTTTCCACCCATGGCAAAACATCAGCCTCCTGCTTCTAACATTGCCACACGTTAACATCTGATGTTCTGTGATAAAGTTCAAGGCTGAAGTTGGTGGGGCTGCCTGTTATTATATACAGTGGTACCTCGGGTTACATACACTTCAGGTTACATACGCTTCAGGTTACAGACTCCGCTAACCCAGAAATAGTGCTACAGGTTAAGAACTTTGCTTCAGGATGAGAACAGAAATCGTGCTCCAGCGGCACAGGAGCAGGAGGGCCCATTAGCTAAAGTGGTGCTTCAGGTTAAGAACAGTTTCAGGTTAAGAACAGACCTCCGGAACGAATTAAGTACTTAACCCGAGGTACCACTGTATCTACCAAGCAGATGCAAACCACAATTGTAAAAAGATGCCCTACACAGTATATTTAACAATAAATACCCATGGGTATTATTACTTCCAGCTCAAGAGGCAGTGACTATGTGTTGCTAAGCAGGCCGATAACCAACAGGTACCACATCATAAACTGGAACACAAGAATCCACTAGAGAAGTCCTAACTAACCATCACTTATCCAGCCTGCTATGGAGAAGTTTCCCTGGCGCTTTTCCTTGACAGAATAAGCAACTGCTCTCAGTTTAGTACTCACAAACACTAATGCAGATTAATAAACAGACAGAGAGATGGAGAGCTCACCATGGGCTGAAAATGGGTCATGCAGGAGGTCATGCACCTTAGTCAAAATGGGCGGTGGCTAATTGTGGTTAAGAGTGACCATGCATTTAAAGTGCACCCCCTCAAAAATTCTGGGAACTGTAGTTTACCCCCCAACAGAGCTATGATTCCCAGCACCCTTAACAAAACACAGTTCTGGTGATTCCTAGGAAGCGAGTGCTCGAAATAAATGGTGTGTACACAGCACAATAAGACATTCCCTGCAATTAGGAGCGGGGCAGAAAAAGTAGCAATATAGCTAGTTAGTTACTATTACATTTATATATAAATGTAAATAAATATTCTCTAAGAAATTCCAGGCAGTATCTCCACTCACTCACACAAACACACACAACAACAACAACAACCCTGCAAGGTAGGATAGGCCAAGAGATAGCAGCTGGCTCAAGGTCACACTGGCCAAGTGGGGATTTAAAGCCTAACCTCCCTGTCTGTTGCTCTAACCACTACACCACACTGCCTCAGCTGAGAAAGAAGACACGGAGGTATACATCTTTGGAGCAGTTTTTAATGCCCCTTCCCTGATTCTGAGAAGAATCTGGAGCACTAGCTGCTGTTAAAAGGCAATGCAATCCCCAGAGTTTAAAGGCTGCAGTCCTATGTCTACTCAGAAGGCGGTCCTGTTGCATTCAACGGGGCTTGCTCTCAGGTAAGCGGGGTCAGGACTGCACAGCCTAATCGTGGAAAGATATAAAAGCTTGGGGGCGGGGGAGGAAGCTGGGATTTCCTCCAAGGAGCACATTTATCTACTCCAGGAAGCAATAAAAAGCCAGCAACTACAATCCTTCCCTAGTTGTTTTTTTTATATATAAAAAACAAAACCAGCTGACAAGATAGATCACAGGTGTGGTAAGTGAGCGAGCGCTCAGGTTACAGGGGAAGGGAAGCGGAGCAGCGCACGTCTCGGCTGGACAGGGCGGCGGCGGGCGGGAGCGCCTGTTACTGAACCCGCGCCCCCTTCCATCTTTCACAAACACGCGCGGCCATTTCACACGTTACGCTTTTCACGAGCAGTGGAGAAAGAGAGCAAAGGCTTGGGTCTCAGGAGCTCCAGGGCGGAAAACAGACGGGGGGGGGCGTGGGTGTGGCACCGCCTCCCCCCCCACCCCTTTGGAAAAAGGGGGAAACCCACCAAGAGAGACCCCCCCTCCAAAATCTTCCAGGAGAGCAGACGGCGCCCCCCACCCCCGACGCTGTACTTCGCACCCCCTTGAAGCCCAGCGGGGAGCATGAAAGCAGGGAAATGTGGGTCTGGGCCCCAGCGGGGTTGGGGGCGACCCCCCTCCCGCCTCTCTCCCCCCCCCCCGATTGTGGGGGGAGGGTGGGGGAGAGCGACCCTTCCCCCGCTTCCCCCGACGCCTTTTGTGCGCCTCTTACCGCGCTGCTGGTCCCTCGCCTCCCGTCTCTCCTCTCCCTTCCTTCCCAGGGAGGACGAGAACCGCCTGGTTCGCGCAGGGCGTCCGAGCCGACGGGCGGGGAGAGCGGCGAGGCTGCCGAGAGAGGAGCCGCCGACTGAATTGCCCTCCGCACGGCCCGCTGCTGCTTCCAAAGTGCCCGCCTCTGCCTCGGCGGCTTGGTGCGCTCGGAGCTTCCCGCGGGCCGCAAACGCCCTCTCCTGGACGGCCCGGGCTTCGCTCGCTGGTGGAAGAAGCCCCGCGGGGGGGGGGGGGGAGAAGCGGCGAGGCGGTTCACACGTGCAGGATGCGCGTCGCGTGGTCTCGCCGCCGCGCTGAGAAATGTGGAGGATCCATGTGTGTGGAACTAAGTAAGAGGATTAGGGCGGCCGCCAGGGAGAGAAAGTTACCCTTAATGATAATTAGCAGAGTGCTGGATTTAAAATTGAGAAGATCCATTGGGGGGGGGGAGCATGGGCGTAGCCAAAGGGGGGCAGCTGCCCCCACTAAATCAAGTAAATAAATAAAAATATTTAACTAACTGACCAATCGGGTTGCAGATAGCTCGGTTATGCCCCCACCCCAACATAAATCCTGCCCCCCACCCAACATGAAGGCAACCCTGTTTAAGGAAGTTATTAATGTTTTGTGTTTTTAATATTCTGTTGGAAGCCGCCCTGAGTGGCTGGGGAAACCCAGCCAGATGGGCGGGGTATAAATAATAAACTACTACTACTACTACTATTCTTTTATATATAGAAAAATGTATTAGTTTTTTAACATATTATTTTCAACAGTAATTAAACATACTTTTACATCTTATTCAATTTTTTGGACTTCCATCAGTCCTGTCTGAAAATTTCCCAATCTAATCTCTCAACATGCATTTCTTATTTTCCCTATTACATTTCAAACTCATAACCAATATCTCTGTCTTTTTCTACTTTGTAACACTTCGTCTATTTCTCCTTACAAAACTTCTTGTAGTCCTACTAGCGTAATTTGTTGATTACAGTTGATCTTCAAATAATTCATATACAGTGGTGCCTCGCAAGACGAACGCCTCGCAAAATGAAAAACTCGCAAGACGAAAGAGTAAGAGGATTAGGGGGCTTTTAAAATGCTGGCGGGCGGCAGCAAAGCTCTCCTGTCCCCGGAGCTTGCAGGGCGGGAGGTGGGGAGAAGGGCTTTTCTTCCCACCGCCAGCCTTCAGAACAGCCTTCTGAAGGCTGGGGGTGGGAAGAAAAGCCCTTGTCCCCCCCCCAGCCTTCAGAAGAGGTCGGGGGACAGTCTGTCCCCGGACCTGGTCTGAAGTCGGTTTCCATAGGAACGCATTGATTGATTTTCAATGCATTCCTATGGGAAACCGTGCTTCGCAAGACGAAAAACTCGCAAGAAGAAAAAACTTGCGGAACGAATTAATTTCGTCTTGCGAGGCACCACTGTACTTCTTCCAATCTTCTGTGAATCTCTGGTCCGGCAGGTTTCAAATCCTTCCTGCCATTTTGTCCAATTCTGCATAGTCCATTAATTTCGCCTGGCATTCTTCTTTCGTCGGAATTTCTTCTTGCTTCCATTTCTGGGCTAACAATACTCTTGCCACTACTACTACTGTTGTTGTTGTTATCATTGGCGCCATATTATGAAAGGTGACCCAACTCCCCCCCTGATTAATACTAGCTGAAATTGAATGTGTGGCATATGAAAGAGAGGGCTGTCAAGGGCTTCTCAAGACCAACTGTCCCATACCACAAGAGGGGAGACTGCTCTGATGGTCGGATCCTGCTTGCAGGTTTTCTGCAGGCATCTGGTTGGCTGTTGTGAGAACAGGATGCTAGACTAGATGAGCCCTTCTTGTGTGAATCCTGTGACAGGTGAATCCACTGAAAGGTGCTGGGTTTGATAATAATAATAATAATAATAATAATAATTTATTTGTACCCCACCCATCTGGCTTCCAACAAAGATTAAAAATGCATTAAAATGTCACACATTAAAAACTTCCCTGAACAAGTCTGCCTTCAGATGTCTTCTAAATGTCAGCTAGTTGTTTATCTCTTTGACATCTGATGAGAGGGTGTTCCACAGGGTGGGCGCCACTATCGAGAAGACCCTCTGCCTGGTTCCCTGTAGCTTTGCTTCTCGCAATGAGGGAACCACCAGAAGGCCCTCGGCACTGGACCTCAGTGTCCTGGCTGAACGATGGGGGTGGAGATGCTCCTTCAGGTATATTGGGCCGAGGCTGTTTAGGGCTTTAAAGGTCAACACCAACACTTTGAATTGTGCTCCGAAACGTACTGGGAGCCAATGTAGGTCTTTCAAGACCGGTGTTATGTGGTCTCGGCCGCCGCCCCCAGTCTAGCTGCCACATTCTGGATTAGTTGTAGTTTCCAGGTCACCTTCATAGGTAGCCCCACAAAGAGCGCATTGCAGCGGGAGATAACTAGAACATGCACCATAAGGCTACCTCAGCATTGTGCTTGGGGGCTGTATCCATGGTCCCCCTCCCCCATCTAGCCTGGTAGTCCTCATACGAGGGATGTTGATGGGTCCTCAACTGCCCCCTTTGCAGTCATGTATGGCAATGGCCCTGATCCAGGCCTCTTCGCTGCACCAGCCTGGGAGGTAGCGCAGGGAAAGGGCATTTCTTGCCCCTTTCTGCCTTGCATGGTGCAGTGGGTCTACTCTGAGTGTGACTGACTTTTGATCTCACCTTAAGATTGCTGCTACAATCCAGTGAATGCTTGCACGGGAATGAATCCCACGGAACATTTACTTCTAAGTATACAGACACAGGATTTCCATGCTAGAACACTGGGCTTGACTGGGCTTTGGCCTGATCCAGCCTGGCTGATATTATGCTCTTGGGATGGAAAAAACAGAAGAGCTTGCATTGAAAGCAATTCATTCAGAGCATGTGATTTGCTGAGGGAGTGGAATAGGGACTTTTGACAAACAGTCATAAAATCCAAAGTCCTTAAGGGCTGCTTTATATACTTAAAGCTACCGTATTTTATTGGGCTCCAAAGTGATGGTTGGAATGTACGACTTCCTGCAAATCAGGTGTGGGGAACCTGATGCCCTCCAGATCTTGCTGGACTACAACTCCCATCATAGAATTGCAGAGTTGGAAGAACCTCAAGGGTCATCTAGTCCAACCCAGGAATCTCAACTAGACAATACATGGCAGACCGCCACCCAACCTCTGCTTTAAAACCTCCAGTGAAAGCGAGGCCACCGCCTCTCATCCTTAGCCATTGGTCATGCTTTCTAGAACCGATGGGAGTTGTAGTTCAGCAGGATCTGGAGCGCGCCAGGTTCCCCACCCCTGCTATAAATCATTGGATCTACCTGGTCATTGTTACTTGAGATGTTGCCACACGTTCTTTTGCTGTTGATTCATAAACTGCTGCATATATCCAAAGTGGTGATGCCTAGCCCTTCCAGATGTTGGTAAAGGTAAAGGGACCCCTGACCATTAGGTCTGGTCGTGGCCAAATCTGGGGTTGTGGCGCTCATCTCGCTTTATTGGCCAAGGGAGCCAGGGTACAGCTTCTGGGTCATGTGGCCAGCATGACTAAGCCTTCTGGCAAACCAGAGCAGCTCATGGAAACGCCGTTTACCTTCCCGACGGAGCGGTACCTATTTATCTACTTGCACTTTGACGTGCTTTCGAACTGCTAGGTTGGCTGGAGCAGAGACTGGGCAACGGAAGCTCACCCCGTCGTGGGGATTCGAACTGCCGACCTTCTGATCGGCAAGTCCTAGGCTCTGTGGTTTAACCCATAGCTCCACCCGCGTCCCTCCAGATGTTGTTACTGGACTACAATTCCCATCATTCCTCACTGTTGGTCGTATTAGCTAGCAGAGCTGATGGGAGGTGGACTCAAAGCTTTGCAGCACAACCCTATGCATGTCTCCTTAGATGCAAGTCCTGTTGGATTCAATGGCGCTTGCTTCCAAGTAGGAATGCAGCCTAATTTCCTCTGAGCTCAATGGGATTTACCTCTAAATGCACAGGATCATACCGTAAAGCAGACAGGAGGAACCTCATTCAGCTTGAGGGCCACATTCTGAGCATCCTCCAGGGGCCACATGCTGGTGGTGGGCGGGGCCAGAGGTAAAAGTGGGTGGAGCAATGACTATAAAATTTACCTTTATAGAGCAGGCTAGTTTCTGCAGGCACTCAGACATCCCTCTGTCCTCCACCCAGGCAAACAAGAGGCGTTATCAGGTTCGAGGCCACCTTCCAGCCAGGCAAAAACATATATTTATTCATTCATTTATTTCACAACATTCATTGACTGCTTGATTGTAATAAAACCTCAAAGTGGTTTAGAAAAACAATATTATCAGCGGGGGTGGGGGTGGGGGAAAGAACCACCGGGAAGTATTTAAAACATTCAAAAATAATTAAAATTAACAGTAAGCAAAACAAAACGAGGTTAAAAGATGCAACAGTTTCTTCCTGTCTGAATTGGCTTAATTAAACAAACATGATCCCCACAGTTGCCAAGAAGAGTACAGAGAATGTGCCTGGCTGTGGTAAATCGGCAGGGAATTCCGAAGTGTGTGCAGAGCCAGTAAGAGGTATTCAAAGTGTTGGTGCTGACCTTTAAAGCCCTAAATGGCCTCGGTCCTGTATACCTGAAGGAGCGTCTCCACCTCCATCGTTCAGCCCAGACACTGAGATCCAGCACCGAGGGCCTTCTGGCGGTTCCCTCACTGCGAGAAGTGAGGTTACAGGGAACCAGGCAGAGGGCCTTCTCAGTAGTGGCACCCGCCCTGTGGAATGCCCTCCCTTCAGATGTGAAGGAAATAAGCAGCTATCCTTTCTTTAAAAGACATCTGAAGGCAGCCCTGTTCAGGGAAGTTTTTAATATTTAATGCTGTATTGTTTTTAACACTCGATTGGGAGCTGCCCAGAGTGGCTGGGAAACTCAGCCAGATGGGCGGGGTATAAATAAATTATTATTATTATTAATCTGGCCGAGGGAGTGTGTGATCTGCGGTATGGTTTGAGGGTCACTCCGAAAGGCCTAGAAGGCTGCCACGGGCTTGAGACTCCTCACCCCTGCTATAAAACGTCCATATTTTTTTCTCTCCCAATATTTATATTTGCCTTTCAGTTCTCTGCCGCTGCTGTGTTGTTGTTTTTTAATGAATCTAGA